CTCATTTACTAAAATTAGTAGCAAAAAAATAGGTCAGCATTTAATGCAACCTATAAATAGTAGTTTTATTATTTTTCTTATTTTCTTCTTTAAAAATCATAAAATTTAATTTATAAATATGCTTTAATATAATCATACGATTTAATTTATAAAAATCATATAACTAAATTTTTTTCTTTAAAAATACGCTTTAATATATATATATAGTACTTTTTGTAATAATAATAAAATGTGTTACTTAAATTTCTAAACAATTTAAAAATTCAAAGTCTAAATTAATTGATAAACAATTTATAAATCTCTATTTTATTTAAATATTTAATTTTATTTAAAATAATTCTAAATATAGCCACATTTATTTAGAAAATCGTATCAATTCAACCAGTTCAACCGATTGGTGTTGACGGATTCAATAGCAAATATTTTATTCAAGTAAACTAGACTGATTATAAACCGGGTCTCGGACCATCCGGTCGAACTGTGCCCAACACTGTTTAATTTAAAAATAATGAGTAAATCTTGATTAATTTATTTGTATATTTAATTTATAACACAATCGTAATATTGTTTCCACGTGCATTGCACGGGCCACGCACTAGTAAATACATTAATTTTTGTACAAATTTTATGGTAAGTAACTTTCACATTATTTTATGCATTGTACTAAATTCAGTTTATTAGTATATTTATTGCACTTGAATTTGTATATATTGATTACAATCTTTGGCCAAAATTACTAACTTTAAGGACAGCTGAGTTTCTTGAAAACACAAAAAATAATATGATCATATAAATTCTAGAGCTAAATATATAATTAATCTATTTTCAAATGAATTTATGTAACACAACTATTAAAATGATACCAAGAAAAAAGAAATTATATTATCATGTAAGATATTACTTTGAATGATGGATTATTTAAATAATCATATCTAATGTAGTTCGCTAATTGTCAAAAGTAAAAAACAAATAGTAATTATATTATATTATGTTTGGAATTAGAATAAGGAATATTTTAACGGATAATTCTTTTAAAATCTCTAATGCATATTTCAGTTTCCTTGTCAGTCCTCAGTATATTTTTTGTTCCTTTTCACTCCCTAATACTTATTTCTCTTTCCTCTGAACTCCTCATATATATATTAATATCATTATTATACATTTAATTTAATTGTAAAAAATTGAAGCGTACAGATCTGAAGAAAAAACATCTTCTCCCTCATCTATACTCTCTCTCTCACAGATCGAAAAAAAAAAAATTCTCCCACATCTATACTCTCTCCCTCTCAATCTGAAAAAAAGAAAAGAAAATCCTCCCAATCCTCGCCGCCGCCCAATTCCTCCCAGATAACGTACAATTCAAAATTCACCCTTTCCAAAATCGTGTCCTTTCCGTCAAACGGCTGTCGCCGCACGCAGTCGGCGTCCTCTTTCCACAACCCGTTCTCGAAGTGCGACGACGATAACGTCTGGAGGATGGCGACGCAGTCGAAGCCCCGCCACCTGTTGATTACGGCGAACGTCGTACGGAAGGCGCGGTGGTAGACATACGACATCCGGAGGTCGGCGATGTCGGGGATGTAGCGGCAGCCAACGACTTGGTGGAACTCGTAGTAGACGGTTGTGCGGCTGAACCAGTGGTCAGCGCTGCGCAAGGTACAATAACAATAAAGCCTCTACTGCTCCTTCATGGCTCAGGTGGCTACGACTTCAACCGCCGTGGGATTTCTCGGATTCCGCCTCTCTTCCCTCCGATCTGGTCCTCAACCATCGAGGATCGTGAATTTTTCCTATAATTTTCAGAACAGTTGGGTTTGATGCTAAATGTTGTTATTTGTGGTTTGAATCTTGCTTTAACTCTGGTGCAGATGAAGCAGCTGGACAATACCCACAAAATATGGCGAGACGAAACTGGCTGACATTAGCAATTTACCAGAGAAGCCGAAGCCATCAGTTGAAGATGATAAGCCGAAATCTATTCCAGTAACTGCTAAAACATATATTGAACAGCTCCAGAAGGTAACACGAGAGCTTATCATCTTCATGTATGGCTAGCATTTTCATGCCTTAATTTTGCTCATTGTGACTGTGATTCAGGAAAATATGGCCTTAGTAAAGATGATGTGATGTAGCGCGGCGTCGAACAAAAGGGAACAAAGAGATGAAATCTCCCAAACAGTAATTTTATTTCACGATAAACTTATTTTCATAAGAGAGAAGAAGGGAATAAATAGTCTCCAAATCCTAGGTTTCCTAAACATCCTAAATAAGGGAATAATACTTAAATAAATATTAAATAAAACATGGAATAAT